TTACGATAATGGACATTCTTTTAACACAACTGATGGTATCCACTCGACCCGCGAGTTTTTCTGATTTTAGCTCCACATATTTCCATGGGATCAGCTGCCGACGGAAGTGTGCAGTACTGGTGGAGCTCATTCATGGGGTTAACTGCTCTGATGAGTCCACGGTTCCTATCTTTGATATCCCCGGATGGAGAGCGCCCCCTACAAAAGAACCGCAGAAATCTGAAGTATTCTCCAAACTCGCATTCAGGAATGAATGCGGTATTGTGTACGTTAGACTGACAAAAATGAATTGTGGAACTACGGCACCAAGCATCTTTAATATATGTGATGATAACTCCTTCACGCTTTTGAGATGAGACGGAGCGATCAACACTAGATCTGAAACCCATCGAGCTTGACAATCTAGCCATATTGAGCGGAATAAGTCTACTCAAGTTTACTGCCTGTGATATGTATTTGAACAAATGAATGGTATCACCATACTACAAATTGCGCGGCGTATATCCAATTTCATTTGTACTTTTATGGCATGCCTCAATGCTTCGCAAATGGTATTATTCATATCTGATTGAGTTTGTTGTACCATCTAGTCAATAAAAGAGGAATTATGTAAGCTACAATAATAGAGTTTTACCTTTTCATTGGGGCCGTTGAGAATTCATTTCCCCGTTTGATTATCAGTGATTCCAAGAAAAATAAATTTTTCGACCCCTTTGGTTATTTTTGGCTAATATTGTTTTGTTCTGTGATTGTACTCGCTACTCCAGTAATTGTCAGCATGATTGTTTTGGTTACTCGGTCTTGATTTAATTTGACTTCCATCTCATCACAGCAACATTTTGTCCGTTCCTTGGATTGAACTTGGTGGCAAGACGAGCATCATTTGCTCTAAGACGGGCTATGCGGCCAATATTGAGTTCAAAACCAAGCCATTTTACAACGGAAAAAAAGATGTCATCCATGCCGAAGTTTTAGGGCCCAATGAGAAAAAGCCCTTTCTGGTTGTGGATGGTGAATGGAACGATAAGATGTGGGCCAAGTGGTCAAGTGGAGTAAGTTTTTTTTCTGAATGAACTCTCACTTTTCCCTCTATCCCCTCGCACTTTTTGCGGCTCCGTATGTGGTGGTAGGAAACGCATGATTCCATGTATTATATACGTTTTATCGATTTCAAGCTTTCGCTAATAGTTCCCATGTGATCTGTATTTTTTGTGGGCTGTCTAGTTCCCTGTTTTGCTGCTCGTTGCTGTCTTGCGGTGGTCTTCAATGTTTTGGCAACCGGTTTAAACTGCCTTTCTGGAAAATGTTTTCATCACTCGGGTTCATACTAAACGCATCCGATAGTCACAAATATTTACGGCTTCTTTCACTTGTCTAGCCTATGAATTAGTTGTCTTACTCCAGTCGGATTATCTGATCTTGGGTCACACTGTTTTTGATCAGCGATGATATCGTGCAATTCAGAAATTCGAAATAAACATCACCGATTGTTTCCAACTGGAACTTTGTATCATTCCAGTGGTCACGTGATGCGGTAAATGTGATTTAGGTTGCCGCAAAATGCGGATCTGAAGCAGGTGTGGTTGTCATTGTTGTTTATGAAGCAAACCATATTTCCATACCACTATATCGAAACTGACTGCTCATTTTTAGAACGTATATTACCGACGTGGCATGTGATAAACTAATGGTTGTTTACCAGTAGACGCTTTTAGAAACAACCGACAATTTTGACCATTATTCGTCTCGTATCTTAACAGATTATGGATCTATTTTCCATGATAGTTGTTGTGTTCGGTCCAGCCGTACGAATGACGGGAACGACTTGCCTCATCCCCAAAGATAACGCGGAGAGAGAACACAGCTTGAGACAAAAGTCACCGTGTATTCCTTGATCAGATATCGATACGCAAATATATAGAGCAAATCGTGCATACGAGAACGGCGCAGTGACGCACCAATCAGATTACGTCCTTGATATATCGATTGATCGATCAAACAAACATTGGCTGACACGTTCTGTTATCATCCAGTCGGTTCAGCGTGTGTGAAGCGCTGCGAGCATGCGTGTGGCCTGACTTGGAGGCGTGCGCGATCGAACGGGTTGCTTAAGCTCCGTCCTAACAATAGTTACCTCAGACACCCCATCGCCATTTTATTTTCAAGTCAATTCAGGTAAATGCAATAAGATTTCGGTCGGTTCAGCGGAAAAATCAGCATAAAGAACCGACCGTACGAAAACACTGCTTCGGTCTCCTTTCTTAAACTTCAGGTAGTATGTCCGTTTACTCACAGCTGAGTACAAAACA